AAAAAAAAAAAGAAATTAGAAAGTTTCAAGACAGGCCAGGTGCAGTGGCTCATACCTGTAATCCCAGCACTTTGAGAGGCTGAGGTGGGACGCTCTCTTGAGCCCAGGAGTTTGAGACCAACCTGAGCAACATAGGGAGATCTCATCTCTACTATAAATTAAACATACAAAAAATTAGTTGGGTGTGATGGTGCATGCCTGTAGTCCCAGCTACTTGGGATGCTGAAGTGGGAGGATCACCTGAGCTCCGGAGGTCGAGGCTACGGTGAGTTGTGATTGTGCACTGCACTCTAGCCTGGGCAACAGAAGAAGACCCTGTCCCAAAAAAAGAAAATTCGTGAGACTGCCATTCAGAAATGAATAAAAATAGCTGATCTTCCTTTATTTAAAAGATTTTTACTTCAACCAGAGAATCAGAAGCTAAAAAAAAAAAAAAGGGAAAAGACTTTCACTACTCAATATTTCACTACTAGACTGCAATTCATTAATTTCTTGGTTTGAGGTTCTATTTTTTTGTTTGTTTGTTTTTCTTTTGTTTTTTGCTTTGAGAGGGAGTCTCGCTCTGTCACCCAGGCTGGAGTGTGGTAGCCCGATCTTGGCTCACTGCAACAACTACCTCCTAGGTTCAAGCTATTCTCCTGCCTCAGCCTCCTGAGTAACTGGGATTACAGGCCCATGCCACTGCGTCTGGCCTTGGCTTGAGGTTCTGGAAGCCACGTTTCATCAGTAAGGTGGGAGTCAAGTTTATTTTTGCCTCCTACAAGACACCTTGCAACACAATTACCTCACCTGTTAAGAGGAGTTAACCGTGTTGACTCGACTCTCAGAATTGTTAAAGGAAACAACCAGGTTCTCTTAAAATGCAAAAGCCTACCAAAGCGTATAAAAAAATTAGCTCACATGAAGCCAAACACCAGCTCTAAATAGTCTCAAGTTGGCCGGGCACAGTGGCTCATGCCTGTAATCCCAGCACTTTAGGAGGCCAAGGCAGGTGGATCACTTGAGGTCAGGAAGTCGATAGGAGCCTGGCCAACATGGTGAAAGCCTGTCTCTACTAAAAATACAAAAATTAGCTGGGCATGGTGGCATGCGCCTATGGCAATCCCAGCTACCTGGGAGGCCGAGGCACAAGAATCACTTGAACCTGGGAGGCAGAGGTTGCAGTGAGCCACGATTGCACCACAGCACTTCAGCCTGGGTGACAGAGCGAGATCCTGTCTCAATAAATAAATACATAAATAAAATAGTCTTGGCTGGGCATGGTGGCTCACACCTGTAATCCAAGCAGTTTGGAGGCCAAGGCAGGTGAATCACCTGAGGTCGGGAGTTTAAGACCAGCCTGACCAACATGGTGAAACCCCATCTTTATTTAAAAAAATTAAAAAACAAGAAAAAAGAAAATAGTCTCAAGTAGATGGCATCATCAAGCACACCAGGCTGAGTGCCTACTCTATGTCAAGCACTCTGGCTGACACAGAGCAGTATAAATCTCTAGAGCGTATATCTCTGGATGTCACTTCAATCACATTTTCCCCACACAAATACAACTTCCCAGAATAGAGGAAATCTAAGATGATATGTGAGAAAAAGTTCTGAAAACTCTCTAATTTGATCCCCACAATAAACCTGTGTGAGAGAGAGGTAGGGCAGAGATGATTATCCCCATTTTATAGATGACAAAACAGACTCAAAGAGATTCAATGATTTAACCAAGGTCCCACTGCTGGTTAGTGGAAGAGAGTGGGTTCCTCCCATGTCTCCAAACTGCCCCCAACACGCTTACAGTCTAGTTGCAGAGGTAAAACACAAACATACATGAAGAAACAATGCCCTGCAAATATAGGTGCTCAATTAATGCATATTGGTGGTGGTGGTGGTGGCAATGGTGACTGATGATGATGGTAATGATGATGATGGTACTGGTGATGATGGTAGTGATGGTGATGGTACTGGTGATGATGGTAATGATGATGGTAATGCTAATGATGGTACTGGTGATGATGGTAGTGATGATGATGGTGATGATGGGAATGATGATGGTACTGGTGATGGTAATGATGATTATGGTACCAGTGATGATGGTAGTGATGATAATGGTGGTACTGGTGATGATGGTAGTGATGATGATGGTAATGATATGATGGGACTCGTGATGATGGTACTGATGATGATACTGGTGATAATAGTGATGATGATGGTAATGATGATGATGGTACTGGTGATGATGGTAGGGATGATGGTAATGATGATGATGGTAGTGATGATGGTAATGATGACGGTACAGGTGATAATGGTAGTGATGATGGTACTGGTGATGATGGTAATGATGATGGTACTGGTAATGATAGTGATGATGATGGTAATGATGATGGTACTGGTAATGACATAGTGATGATAGTAATGATGATGATGGTACTGGTGATGATGGTAGTGATGATAGTACTAGTGATGATGGTAATGATGATGATACTGGTAATGACAGTAGTGATGATGATGGCAATGATGACGGTACTGATGATGATGATGGTAGTGATGATGACAGTGATGATGATGTTAATGATATGATGGGACTGGTGATGAAGGTACTGATGATGATACTGGTGATGATAGTGATGATGATGGTACTGGTGATGATGGTAATGCTGATGATGGTACTGGTGATGCTGGTAGTGATGATGATGGTGGTGGTGATGATGGTAGTGATAATGATGGTACTGATGATGATGGTAATGATGATAATGATAATGATGGTGGTACTGGTAATGATGGTAGTGATGATGATGGTACTGATGATGATGGCAGTGCTGATGATGGTAATGATGATAATGGTAGTGGTGATGATGATAGTAATGATGATGGTACTGGTAATGATGATGATGGGACTGGTGATGATGATAGTAATGATAATGGTACTGGTGATGATGACAGTAATGATGATGATGATCGGACTGATGATGATACTGGTGATGATGATAGTGATGATGATGGTACTGGTGATGACGGTAGTGATGATGGTAATGATGATGAGAGTGCTGGTGATGATGGTATTGGTAATGATGGTAGTGATAATACTGATGATTATGGTAGTGATGATGATGGTACTGATGATGGCAGTGCTGATGATGGTAATGATGATAATGGTACTGGTGATGATGATAGTAATGATGATGATGGGACTGGTGATGATGACAGTAATGATGATGGTACTGGTGATAATGATAGTGATGATGAGGGGACCAGTGATGATGGTACTGATGATGATGATACTGGTGATGATAGTGATGATGATGATAATGAGGATGATGGTACTGGTGATGATGGTAGTGATGATGATGGTAGTGATGATGGTACTGGTGATGATGGTAATGATGATGATGGTAGTGATGATGGTACTGGTGATGATGGTAATGATGATGATGGTACTGGTGATGATGGTACTGATGATAGTGGTACTGATGATGATGGTACTAGTGATACTTGTAATGATTATGATACTGGTAATGATGGTACTGATGATGTTGGTAGTGACAATGATGATGGTGATAATATCACGATGACAGGAGAATACAAGGAACAGGAAGTATGTACTAAATGACTGGCAGGGCTGATGAATGCTAAGGGGACTCACCTGAGTCCTCTCCATACCAGTCAGTCTGGACATCCATCATGGAACTCATGGCTACTCCTACACTTTCTGGTCTTCCCTCCAAACTCCGAGAAAAGTGATGGTCTGCATCATCTTTGCTTGGGGCAGCGCTGTTGCGCAACAGCGCCTCCAGGAACTGCTTCATGTGGTAGTTGCTGTAAGCCAAGTCAACTGCCTGGCCGCTGGGCAAGGCCTCCTCCACGTGAGCCAGGCTCAGTGGGGCAGCATACTGCTGCAGCTGTTCACCAACATCCACCTCCACTTCATCAGCATCAAATTCCACCTTGGGCTCTATCTGGTTGGGTGGAGTAGAGAGGTCACTGTCAGCCGAGCCACAGCCAAGGCTATCTTTCACCACCAGTTCCAAGGGGTGGCAGTCTCCACAGTCACCGCAAGGGGACTCTCTCAGGCAGTCTACACGCTTTTCTCCTTTGGCTGGAGAGGAGACCAAGCTCTTGGTACCACAGGAGGTCCCCTCTCGGCATGAACTGGGGCTTCCACTGTCAACCTGATGAGCTGCCGCTGCAGCCGCTGCTGCAGCCGCCGCCGCTGCCGCTGCCACTGCTGCAGCCACAGCAGCCTCCTTCTCCATCTTTCGGCAAATGTCGAGGGATGACCTGATATATGTCTTGCAGAAGTTCACCACGTCATTCATCTGCAGGTAGCTGGCAGCTGACATCACTTCAATCACATTCTCCCCACACAAATCCAACTTCCCAGAATAGAGGAAATCTAAGATGGTGGAGAAGGCATCAGAGGTGACAATGTCCAAGGAGGCAGTGCTATGCCGCCCGCTGTCCTGGATATAGTGAATGAGCAGGGCTCGGAAGTAGCCACTGTTAGCAAATAAAATGTTCCTGTGGGCCTTGAAGATCCGCCCTTCCACAATGATGCTGCAGTCACAGAAAAAGTCCCTCTTTCTCTGTTCATTCAGCTCCCCCAAAAGCTTGGCATAATAGGATTGCATCTCCATTGCTCCACCAGCTGCTGCTGCTCCGGAGTAAACCTGTATCTCTGCCAAGATTTTTCTTAAGTTAAATCACAAGTCCCAACCTTTACAAATAAGATTTCTTTTTAAATTTTTTTTTTTTTTTTTTTTTTTTTTTTT